TTCAGCAGGGCTGCAAATAAATATTTGACTTGACAGGACATTTGTCCGATCACTTTTTATTTTAATTTGGTCAGACATAACTTGAATTTTGTCGGACAAAAACCAACATAACTAAATTTGGTAGGACATATACATATATATATATATAAGTCACAAGACATATATACTGTAAGTCACAAGACAAGTATGTATGCCATTCCGGCACAACGTTAAGTAAACTGTAAAGTAAATGCTAGAACGCCTCGTAAGTTTTATTGCAAAATGCAAATTGAGTGAATTTGCAATCGGATTTTGTCACAACAAAAAAAATTATCTGATTATGTGATCCCAAGCAAAAATTGCTCGGACATTGGGTAGGGATAAAACGCTGAAACTGAATCCCGGACAAAACGGAAACTGAAAGCGGAAAATGAAATGAGGATAAAACACTGAAATGGGGATAAAACACTGAAATGGGGGATAAAACGCTGAAATGGGGATAAAACGCTGAAATGGGGATAAAACGCTGAAATGGGGATAAAACGCTGAAATGGGGATAAAACGCTGAAATGAAGATACAACGCTGAAATGAAGATACAACGCTGAAATGGGCAAATTTAATCGAATTCATTGTTTGCCAGACCATTGCAAACACTTGTAATTTGCCTATAAAACTGAATAAATATAAGAAAGAAGTTCTCGGTAAAATGACAACCACAAATTTTCGAAGAACGAATTTTATCTCAAAGTTTATCTTTTATTAATAATACATCTACAATTCTCTCCATATAACTTCAAACTCAACTTTTCAGTGAGGTGCGAACTCAACTTTGTGTGCCTTGCGGCACCGTTTTTGGAGTTAAGAAATTCACCTTCATTTCAAATTTTGTTGTTTTCCTGTGGCTTTCGTAATCGCTATACATATTTTTGCTTCTTAATTTCAAACAGTAGAAAGTATAATTTATTTTGTTTACTTTAAGTTTAAAATCCGCAGCGGTCCGGATGAGCGGTCCGTATCGTGAAAAACCGGACCGCAAACAAAGCAATTTGATTGGCTAAAAAGCATGGCGAAAATTTGGGGTTGTCATTTTACCAGGTAACTTCTTTCTTATATTTATACAGTTTTATAGCTGTAGGTAAACTACATGTGTTCGCAATGGTCTATCAAACAACGAATTCGATTAAATTTGCCCATTTCAGCGTTTTATCCCCGTTTTAGCGTTTTATTCCCATTTCTGCGTTTTATCCCCATTTCAGCGTTTTATCCCCATTTCAGCGTTTTATCCCCATTTCAGCATTTTATCCCTATTTCATCGTTTTACCCCCATTTCAGCGTTTTATCCCCATTTCAGCGTTTTATCCCCATTTCAGTTTCCGCTTTCCGTTTCCGCGATTCAGTTTCAGCGTTTTACCCTTACCCTCGGACATTTGCCACATTTAGTCGGATATCCGACAGTAATTTGCAGCCTTGCATTTGACTTCCTGGCAATTAACCAATCACAATCAAGTACACGATAATTGGAACATCGACCTTCACAGACTTTCACACGCATGGGCTATTTATATCAACAAGTCTGTAGTATTTTTAAAATTGAAAGTTTTAATACTACACGTATCAGAAGAAGGCCTTCATTCCATTGTAAACGAAAAGGATGTTTTCATCAATCTCACAACTGGCGCAGGAAATTACTTATTTATCAGGCAGTTACCTAAGCTATTTGATGTAATATTTGGATTTAAATATTTAAACAGATTGTAAACATTGTAAAAAGTTTTTTATTTGTATATAACATGATTTTAATCAATTAATTATTTAAAGTGTGTCGAAAGAGAAATATAGACGATATGTCTTCGAAAAGCAATGCGAAATCAAGTAAAAAAAACTACACGTCAAGCTAGGAGTCAGTGCTGTGTCATTATTAAGTGGAATTGAGAGCGATGAAGAAGCGAAGGCATTGGAATGGAAGAAGGGAAATATTCTGTATTATATGGCACAGGCAGAGTCATTGTTGAAGACAGAACGATGGAGACGAATGCTTTATTAACAACAAAGTGTATAACAAAATGGTTTGTGCTTGGCTATTGATGCATGAAGCTGATATGATTAAAGAATGGTATGTATTATAATAAATTCTAAAAATGTGTTCGCTTTTGTAATTCTCAAAGCCACAGGAATCAATCGGGCATTTTAATAGTCGTTGTTTAATACATTGAATTTGTCTTTTTATACATTACCTCGTATTATTTATTGCAAGTAGTACTAGCATGCAAGTTATCATATGAGACTTTCAATTATGAAGGGTTTGCATCAGATGGTTGGGGTATATATATTAATTAGAATGGCTCATATAAACTTGCTAGTACTACATGCAATAGATATTAATAGCCATAATACGAGGCAACGTATAAAAAGAAAAATTCAAGACAATATAAAATAACGACTATTAAAATTATCAAAGCCGATCGATTCCTGTGGCTTTGAGAATAACAAATGCAAACACATATATGTTTAGGATTTATTATAATACATACAGACATGAGCTTCATGCATTTATAGCCAAAGCACTAACGATTCTGCTGTACACTTTGTCTTCAACAAATTATGACTCTGCCTGGTGTGCCATATAATACAGAATATTTCCCTTCTTCCAATGCCTTCGCTTCTTCATCGCTCTCAGCATTGACTCCAGTTGTGAGATTGACGAAAACATCCTGCTTTTAGTTTACAATGGAATGAAAAGCCTTCTTCTGATACGCATTAAAACTTTCAAATTTAAAAATACTGCAGACTTGGTGATATAAATAGCACATGCGTTGAAGGTCAGTGATTGTCGATGTTCCAATTATCGTGTACATGATTGTGACTGGTTAATTGCCGGGAAGTCAAATGTATAGCGAATGTGAGCAGACGTTAGGTGGGGGGCCTCAGCCACTAACAACGTCTGCGCAGGAGGCTAGATTAGGGCAAGACAAACTAAATACTGGTTTATAAGGGATGACCCTTATACAGTAGACCTTCATGGAAAGATGGTTTAATTTTCTGTAGCTAGCTAATTAAATCTCTAAAAATACTTACATTAGGTTCACCTGACGAATCTTTGTTAGTCTAAGGGGATAAAAGCAAGGTCTTAGCTAGGATTTTAGATCTTGGGCGTGTTTCTAAATGGCCAAGGTATGCACATGTTAATAACCGGTACCTTGAATAGCCAAATTCACGGTTCTAGTTATGCCTAGCCAACAGACAATGCCTGTGGTTGTTCTATGCTTTGGAACCAAATACAAGGTGAGCATACGCTCATATTGCGCACTGACATTAAAGAATTAAGTTCTTTCAATCAGCAACTCTTGGGGGTATTTAAAACCATTTTACAGTAACACCATATCCATCGGCCAAACATTAAAACATCACAGATAAGTTTTGCCAATTTCAACAACTACAGTAGATTTTACAAACTTTTTTACGACATAAATATAGGAAGAAATTATGTCCGTAACACCACATTTTTTTAACTTACCCGGCCTTATACAAATAATGAAGCCGCGTTCATTATATCTAGCCGTGTTTTTCCATTTTTGCCCATGATAACACGGCCAACATGGCCCTCTAGCTAAGACCCTCGATAAAATGAAATTACATCTTAATCAATCTTTGCATGCTTAAGAACGTTACACAATCACATCAATCTGGGAAAAGGGAGTACAGTATAAGTGCATGAAGATTTTAGTAATTTGATAGTCATCAATGATGTAGCAGTCTCTTGGCTTACTGTCCCTAATTGCATGTTACGAGGATCTGTTAAGGCCCATTTACACGGTACGATTAGTTGTATACGATTCCTACTTTGGCGTAATGTGATCGAATAAACACGCGTACAAACGTCACATTTCAAATTTCGCCATCAGCGAATGAGCAATATAAACGTGGCATTAGAACTCGTTTTCATTCGTCAGAATGACAATCGTATACAACTAATCGTATCGCGTAAATGGGCCTTTATGCCAGCTTCATTCTTACGAACGACCTTTTGTTCTGCCCCTATAACTGTTATCCAAAAAGCAAATGTTCGTAACGTATATGAACTTTACAACTGATAATCGTGCTTGTCAATACACAGGCATTCCTTTCGAGAGGAAATTTACCCCAAATTTTTGACTATCAATTAACTAATTGCTCAATTGCAAGTACTAGGACTCCCAGTGTTATTACCAATATTAAGACTGGATTTGAAATGTGGGTCATGTACAGTACATGTAAATAATGGACAGTGTGCTACAGAAGTCAATATGAGTTGCTCACATACTGTAATTCTGTAAATATTATGTGAGTCCAGTGCTTGCCCCACTTGCAGTATTTTCACAAAGAAGTACTGTAAACCCAACCTTGTTCGCACATCTGTCAGCTCACCTGCTCACGCTTTTGACAACTTTAAATAAGATGCATAGTCTTTTTTTTTCTGTGTTGGTGTTGTGTACTCAGGTGAATAATATGTTTGTGATGTTAAGGCCTGTTTAAACGGATGCAACATTGTCCAACATTGTTGGACCAACAATGTTGGACAATTGTTGGACGATTGTTGGTCAGCATGTTCAAACGGATGCAACAATTAGCCAACAACTTTTAGCAGTCAATTAGTAAATTCTGTTCGAAAATAATTATGCAAAGAACTTTAAAATACTGTCCAATCAACACACAGGTCACATACCGAATATTAATTAAATACGCATAGGTTTTCAATGTTATTGTTTTCATGTTTCAAGATGGCCGCTCTTGCTTGCTTGCTGCTGTTAAATTAATATTGTATAGACTTTTACCTCAATCGTATAGTATGAATAAAATTGTTTTTAAAACTATATCAGGTAAATTAAAAACATATCAGGTAAGTTTGTGGGAGAGCGTTGCGATGTTTCATGTCAAATTTAAAATGCTGATCACGAATTTATATTTTTACGTTATGACGAAGAGCTAATACACAAAAGTTATTCATGTCAAAATGTAATCTCTTCGAGAGGTCACATAAACAATGAGAAAGAGAAAATGTATTGCCATCCTTGTCCTGCAAGGGTTACTGGAAATAGACAAGAATCCAAGAGGAAAGACCAGGTCATGGATAAGGAAAAGAGAAAGCCGTGGATTTTACACGAACATCGTGAGGGAATTGATGGTTGAAGACACAGCAGCGTATCGTGAGATGATGAGAATGTCCTACGACGATTTTAAAGTATTGCTACGAGTTGTAGAGCCTCACATAAGTCCGCATCAGGTTCAAGGTGGCCAAAAAGTGATACCAGCCCCGGAAAGATTAACTTTGACTATAAGATTTTTAGCTACAGGTGAGACCTATCGATCCCTGTGCTTTCAATTTCGTAT